TTATCTTTGATGAAGTCGGCGCGAGATCAAACGAACGAGGCCCGCTAATCCCCACGCCGTTTCCACCAAACTTCTCCTGACCCCAGAACAAACGTTCAATCATGCCGCGGAGGTACGACCACAGGCGGTCATGGATGTAGAAAGCACGCGTGTAAGCCCCGTCGCCCTTGGGCTTCATATGCCGCGACGCTGTCGTCAGAATAGTCACTGCGAGCACTGGCTCGTCTGTAAGCAACGTCCGATGAGTGGACGGATGCGAGAAGTCCGGAATCACAATGGGACTAAGCGGGGCGAGATGCTCGTAATAATATGCTACATAGGCCATCGACTCTTCCACTGACAGCCACCCTGCACGAACAAAACGTAGTCGCGACCAAGCCTTGACCGCATCCACGAACCCGGGGTCCTGTGCCGTTTCTGCAGCGTCCGCCGGCCCACGACCATCCGGAAGTCGCGCATCAGCGGACCCTGATGCGCCCGCAGCATAGTACGTACCGCCAGGCACGGTCCCGGAGCGGGGTGGTCGAGAGAACGACCCGCCTCCACTCCGAGGCGTACCAGCCTGCGTGAGCGGAGACATGGGCGAATTGAATGATGAAACCGACTGGCGCGCAGCATACCGGTTCTCCAGACTCTGGCGATTGAGATCTTCCGTCCGACCAGCCGCTTCTGATAACAGGTGCAGTGCATCGTGACTGTTACTGATGGCCGGCGACAACAACTCAACGGCCGTCCGGTTCATCATGGGCTGACCACCCTCGAGGCTGAAGCTCGCCGCATGGCTCCGCTCCGCAGCCGAGTACATGGGCAGTCGCGTGCTTCTCGGTTCGGAGAACGGCGCATTTCCGGACGGGGACGGATTGGAAGGAAACCGCTGACTGGGCGTAGAAGACGACGGGAGCTGCTGCGTATTGTTCGTGGCCGGCGACTCTTCGGTCCATTTTGGTCGGGAGAGACTGGCACCGTTATCGAAGGAAGAGGTGCGCTCGGGCGCATAGGATGAGCCTCCATCACTGACGGATCCGCTATTTGAGATGACCTCGCCCACCATCATCCGCTTATCGCGTCGCAGAACGGCCTCGGTGGGCTCCTCCACTTCGGAGGGCTTGCGCTTCCGCCGAGTAGCGGAGAACTCGCAGCGCTTGCTTTCGCGGCGACATCGTACGCAGGGCGGGGGACGGGGATTATCGACACCTGCGGGGGGGGACGAATAAGCATCAAGGGAAAAGTAACCGGGGAGAGAAGAGAGGGGGAAGGTTAATTAATCAGAGAGCTTGAAGCGGGGGGGAAGAAATGAGGGCAACTTACTGCCAAGGTCACACTTGACTTTGCGCTTCCGGCAAGGGTCGCAAGCCTGGTAACCACGCCGATGCTGGGACTGTTGGGCCTGGAGCTGCTGCTGCTGGAGCTGGGGGGAGGGCGATTTCGGAGCCCCGGGGTCGTGGGAATAGAGGGACTGAGAGGCTGAAGCAGCGGCGTCGTGGTGGTGCTGGCCGTTACTCGCAGGCGCCGCCATGGTTTGATGGAGAGTGGATATTCAGGCCAGAGGGGGATTGCCGATGCAAAGCGACAAAAAGCGGTGGGGGGAAACGGGCTTTTTTGTGGGCGAAGATCCAGTCGCTGAGTTCCAGATTCTAAATGGCGCTGGTCCTGGTTTCGTCCCGGCCCGGAAGTTCTCCGCGGATAACCAGGCAGCAAAGTAGCAAGCAACTTTTAGGGGGGGTGGGGGAAAGATGATGGTGGTGGTGAGGAGGAGGAGGTAAAAGACGGGGAAGGAAGTAGTGAATCCGTGGCAGGTGGTGGTTGATGATGATGGAGGGTGGGAATAATTGATAATAAAAAAAAAAATCAAATAAAATAAAATACAACCACCACCACCACCATAACAATAACACCAGGGAATTGTTCACTCTTTCACTTTCTGCTTCATTTCTGTGTGTCAGTCAGGTGTACTGCCAATGCAAAATGCGGGGTAGGGAATTTCCCAAACCAAATTCATTCCTTTCTTTCTTCATTCATTCGTTCATGCTGCTGGATTGGATTTCTCGCAGGAATTTCTCTCTCTCTCTCTTTTCCTGGGGGGAAATGTTTCCCCCCATGCCCTTGCATCCACTCCCAGTTCCTGTTATCAAAGCGAATGGCAATAGACTCTGGGTCTAAGATGAATCGAGTAGATTTGCCTGGTCTTTCCCGGTCGCTCCGGTCGCTTTCTCCGCCATTTCCCCCCTCCAGGCATCTTCCATTCTTCCATTCTTCCTCGGTTCTCCTCAGAGAAAGATATTATTGCTATCGATATCCTGAGTAACTTTCTCTCCAGATAGGTCTGAATAGTGGAGATACGAAGATAAAATCCCCTACCCTTATAACCATTGCTGCAATTATATTGTCATTCGAGTCTTGTGTAGTAGGTTTAGATATCATCACTATGTACACGGACAACCTGAGCGCGCCTCCGACGGTCAAATAAATTAAAGCCGATAAGCGGGTGAGTGGAAACAGCCCAATCCACTCTCGACCGCTGGATAAAAGAAAAAGAAAGAAAGGAAGTAAAGTAAGAAGAATAAGAAGAAGGAAAAGGGAAGATGAAAATCCCAAAGAAAACACGCTCAACTCCCAACATGGCCTACAAATGCAAGACCCAAACCACATCAATCGCAACAAGCATGATCAGGTCATGTGTAGGGTGATCCCAAAGCTAAATCATACACACATAGAAACAAAAACCAAGTTCAAAACAAGATGCTCGTTCAGGCCACAGATGGCGCTGCGCCAGCCAAACTAGTACTCGCCATGGCTCGCTTTCCCTTGTCGGGCGCTATCCCTTCCCCGTTGGCACTTATCACTGAACCCACCACTTTGCGAGGGAACACCGCCTCGCCGTTAGTACTGCTGGCCTCGCTACCCCGGCGCGATAGACTCGGTGTTAATCGCCCAGGCAGAAGGCCCCGGATGCCCCCAGCTTTGCGTGCGGGGATGTCCGTCGTGCCCGCCGTGAGCACATACAGCAAATACTTCAGATTGGGGAGGGTATGTCGGATATCGAGCACGCGCAGCCCTTGCTTATTTAAGAGAAACTCAATGTCCTTATTCAGCAGGAATACCCCATACTCAAACCGGTATTGCACATTAACCGGGTAGAGTGGATAGGTTCGCTGCGGCAGCGACGCAGACACCGGGTCCTGAATCAGCGAGTGCGACAGATACGGGCTGATCGGGTACGGCAGCGGAATGGACAGGTAGAACGACAGCAGATACACGAGATGTGCGGTATATCCCAGCGCCGCCGCAACCCCATCGCGGTCGACATCCGTAAAATTCGAGTTGGGCAAGGCCATTCCAGCGATGGTGAAAGCCAGCGGTTTGTCCGGGATGGGTTCAATAGGATAAATCGCAAGTAGGTCTTCCGACATACGCCGAATCTGACCGCGGCCCTCGTCCGTATTCTGTTCCAGCAACTTCACGCTCGAGCCCAGTTTCTCTTGCGCGTCCGGGAGATGACTGCGCGCCCTGGCTTGCGTCTGGCGTCCACGCTCCATGGCTTCTCGTCTGGCTTGAAGACTGGCGATCAATTCTTCCTTCCGCTTCGTTAAAGTGCGAAGCTGCTTCCGCTCCGTCGCAACGGCATGCTTGGACAGCGCAAGCTTATCCCGGGCCCGCGACGCATTACTGGTCGTAGTCAGCGCGCGCTGGTTCTTCTCTAATATCGAGCTGATTTGCGCCTCGAGCTTATCTCGGGTCGTCAGCGCATCCTGGATACACTCATCCAAATTGGCCAATCGCATCAGCGCATCGTACGACGACGTCGGTAACGTGGCACCATCGGCGGATCGGGGGTGGCGGGGAGGTATAGAAGCGACCACGGGAGGAAGGTCAGTTAGATTCGTGTAGACGCCATCTGCGAAATGAAACAGGATCGAGTTCGGTGGGAGCGGCTGATGGAAGTTATCCAGTGACTTCCCCAGGAATTGTAAAGACTGCAGACACAGCTGCAATTCCACCAGCAGCAAGTACTCCTCCATGGCTGCCGTGCGTGCCCAGACCTTCACCGTAACCTGGTCCCGACGAGCGATTGCCGGCCCACATATATTCAGATCGAAAGCCCGGAAGCTGGGGTTGGTGGCATGCTCGACTACCTCACTCACGTAAACCGGCTCGTCGACCCCGTCGCAGTGAATCGAGAACCACGTGTCGGCCATACGACTGCTCGTAATCTCCTCCAGCTTCACCTGACGCGCGCGCGGATTGGGCCCATTCCAGGGTAGCGTGTTCCTCCTCTGCCATTGTCGCAACGGGGGTGGCTGTTCTCTCCGGGGGCGGTCTTCTGCGCTGCTGGAGGCGGGGGTCGACTTGAGATCGGTGAAGGAGCGCGAGTGATGTAAGGGTTTCGTTGCATCCTCGGCGAGCGCTTTCAAGGGCGTATGTAGCGAGTTGGGGATGTTGTCATCGTCGATGGTCTTCCCGCGCGGTCGACTCGGCGGACTAACAACGAGATTCCGGACAGAGACGCCCTGCAGATGGCGAAGCTTGCGATTCTGCGCGGAAATCATCAGCGGGATGCATCAATGGGGATACGCAAAGACCATAGGATAGTAATGTACCGGAAGGAACAAGCCAGGTCGTTCACGGCGACTGCCAGTGTCGTCGTCGTTGTCCGCGAATCCCCAGGCGGTCGCCGGCAGCGCCATCGCAGACAAACACTCGGAGGGGAAGCTTAGCTGTCGCACTGCGCAGGGACTATGTGTCGGGTCATCCTAAGCAGATGACAGAGAATAAAAACACCAGCGACAAATAAAATCGAAAGAAGCCCAATTAAAAACCCTTTTGTGAATGAATTAGCGTTGCTGATCGTCGACCGTTGACATAGAGCTGGTTGAATGAAGCCAGCAAGTTAGTAGTAGTTGGGTTGGTTGCCGGCGGAATCGCTCGCCCGGTCGGGATCTCCGTCGAAAAATTGATCCGCCGACCTTCTCTCATTCCCTCTCTTCTCCCGGAGCTTCACCCAGTTCATCCTCAACCACACACCCACCAATCACCCCCCAATCTCTCCGGATCTGGGCCCCAATTAGGTAAAATAGAGTGAACGACGAAAGTCAACCGTCCACTCTATATCCACCACGATCCTCCCTCGCCCTCATCACCATCTAAAGAGGAAGAATCCGGTCACGCGGAGAACGGTGACCAACCCGGCCGCGGCGATGGCCTCACAACAGGTGACGAAGACGCCCTTCCAGAAGATCCTGGACCCGACCAAGATCGGAACGTGGAACATTGTGCGCCGTCCACCCGTCGAGAACCACAGCATTATCCAGGGCAAGCCGCGCGAGCAGAACTCCAATGCCTTCAAGACGCATCAGGCCAAGGAGGGAACTCGGTTACGAAAGGCCTTGAAGGCACTCACTCATGGCAAGAACATCTTTGCCTATCACAATATTCGCACGAACCAAGTCGTGTACTCTCTCACTCGGTATTTGGAGGTGAGTTTCCCATCCACTATCTGTACCCTTCAACCAAACCAATTCTACCTATCAAACCATCGACCCCATACCAAGAACTTTGAAAAAAAAAAAAAAAAAAAGAACCACCACTAACCCATCACCCACCAGAACAACACCACTCTGAAACAACTCCTCTACCACGGCAAAAAGACCGTCCCCGCCCGACTCCGCAAAGACATGTGGGTCCCCTACTTCAGCGTGCACTTCAACGACAGCAAAATCGGGCTACGAGCATACCACCTCCTCCGGGAATTCAGCATGCAGCGACAACTCTCCCCCCCGAAAGAAATGATCACCATCACGGACGCCTGGATCGACCAGAAACGTCCGCGCGACCCGAAGGGCGCCGAAGACTTCCTGGAGAAATACAAAGACAAGATCGGACGGATCATGCCCAAGCACCACCGCAAGCGCGCCGTCATGGATCAAAAGGCCACCAGTGTGGCGGATATTGCGGCCGTGCTGAAGATCCAGGAAGAGGAAGTGGCCAATGGCTTTGCCGATGGGAAGAGGGGTTACTTGACTCCTACTGCGCGGAAGAGGAGACGTGCTGCTCGGGCTAAGGAGGAGGCGGTTGCGAACGAGCAGGCGGCTAGAGTGGCTGGGTTGGAGCAGACGTTGAGTAGTGAGGTGGTTGAGTATAAGGTCCAGGAGACCAAGGATACGTCTGGTGCGTTGGAGGATATGGGGGTTAAGATCCTTTGGAGGGATTTGCATGATGCTAGGTTTGCGGAGAACTGGCCTGAGAGGGTTAGACATGGTGAGTTGGAATTGTCTCGCGATCATGTCATGCCTGGTCAGAAGGGTCTGCGTTCGGAGGTCCTGGCTGAGGGTGAGTTCCGTGAGAGGACGGAGCAGCAGCAGCAGCAGCAGCAGGAGGTTGAGAAGAACTAAGATGTTCATATTTATTTGATTGATATCACATCCTGGGTTGTGGATGGTGTATACATATGCAGAGGGTTGCGTGTTTTTCCATTTTGATTATAAATTGTATTTTTACTCACTACTACACTACTTACTACGATTGTTGTTTTAGAGAAATGATGCAATGGCGTTTGAGCAGATCACACTGCACTGATCTTTAATATTATACCTCCACCGACTCCATCTCCTACACAACCAAAACCAAAACTCAACCTAGACATATCATGACCTTAGGTACCATCCACCCCCAAATCCACCCCACCCACAAATACCCAAAATAAAATACAAAACCACAACAACCCTAAGCACCCTCTCCCCCAACTCCAAGGAAATTATACCAAATAGCATCCCGGAACCTATTCCGGAAGGTCCCCGGATCATTTCCCCCTCGGGAAAGGCACCACATGTCCATTTCCCATCCAAGGGAACGCTCTTGCCCAGGAACTCGCACAGCGGCTCCCACCCATCCTTGACATGATAGACGAGGAGGTTCTCAGCCGGCACAATGTCCTTGATGTGGCTGTTATGCGCCTCGAAGGCTTTGCGGCCGTTGGCGTCGAAGTTGTCGTTGAAGTAGTATTTCCAATTCTTTTGCCAGGTTGGGAGGATCCAACGCGTTCGGGAAGAGGCATAGATTTTCGAGGATGGTGGAGAGGGGGAAGAGAGGGGTGAATGATTTACTGACGGATCTGTAGCTTTTGTATGAGAAAAAAAAGTCTGTTGCATGATTGAGATGAGAGGGGAAACTGAACGCAATTGTGCCCAATCATCCACGTCTCGGGACTGTCAGTATTACTTTTGGCTTCTGGGTAGGCTTGGACTAATTCGTCTGCGAAGCAGACTGCTGGGAAAACCCGATCCAGCCCTATAATAACAGTGGTTTAGTTTAACTGTCTTGGTATGTAACTTTCTCTCTCATCTACTCAATTGCACACGGGGCTCTATACCTGGCAATGCCCCAAGATCTGATCAAAATTCTTCTCGACCAAATGGCCGGCCCTTCCCTTTTATATTTGGCGCTCATAGCAGCATGCCACATCTCACAGTCTTGAGGGTTCCCTCTAGAACTGCTGCGTATCCGTGATAGGTATCATTGTACCCTAGGGCTCGAAGAGTTTGTCTCAATGCTTTACTTCTCGTTAGCGGCGGAATAGATCGTCCATCTAAGATGCACACCTTACAGTCTGTTCCTGTCCGGCAGAGTCCAAGTGCCAGGACTTTGCATGGGTACTTCACGACGACATTTGCGTCTGTCAATGTCGGTGACGGATTTGATGACGTCGTGAAACTGGTAGGTTGTCATTTTGGGTGGTCTTTCCTATATGTGAGTGAAATACATGTTTGGATGAATCAATGGGTTGATATATTCATCATGTGGCGGGCCATTAGCCCTTCATCCTTTCAGCCATCGCTTCTAGCAACCCTAATGCTTGCTGAAATTTGACTCCATCTCGAGTAAGTGAACACCGGAGAGAGTAACTCCGTCTGGTCCCCGTTTGTGGAGACTTCACATATCCAGGTATCTTCACGAGCTCTGATAATTATAAACATCGTGAAGCTAGCCATCTATACGGCGGATTGGATACTTCATTTGGATTGCCATGGCGCTTTTTCCGATAGTGAATTATCAATACAAGGCCAACACTTGTTCATGGGCTGAATTTGCATGATAATTCCCTGGAATGCAAAATTTACAAGAGTTCATACCTACTAGTGAGCACTCCACAACGGAAAACCATCGAGTGATGAGATATGAAGAAACCGGACGACTCTGCCCCACGTGGATAATCATCGCAGCTTGCAGGAAGCATGCCATATGTTAAATAATTGATAAAAAGTCAGCCGCGCTCAAAGCAATAATATGTGGCTGATCTCTGGCTTCCAAAACTATCGTTCTCGCAAAACTTAGCTCATAGGATCTAGTAGCAGTGGGTCTCGGATCTGGCAGCCCATTAGATAGAATTCGCCTGTTTGTTTGCCGCTGCTGAATCTACACTGATAGGAAGCGGTCGATAACGCCTGTGACATAGATGCCATCAGTGGACCAATGAATGCCACTCACGGTTTTTTCTTTCGTAGTCTGTCAAAGTAGGGTTTCGCCCATACCTGTAGCCACAGTTCCGGAGTGGGAGATATGCAGTATGACTATCGACTGTTAGCGCTGGATCCAAGAATTGGTGCATTGATATTCCCACGAACAGTAAGCGCTATCGTCTACAATCTTGTGTTCCCCAAAGGCCTAAGCCTCCTTGCTGACTCCCTTTCGCATGATCGCCTTGGAGACCCACCGGTGAATATCAAGTTCAATAATGCTCGTTTCTTTTGCTAGATCACACCAAGCCCCATCTCAGTTACTGTAGTTGGCTAAGGTGACCTTAGGGTCGATCAGGCTCAGCTACTAATGCACCCCTGCAATAGATCATGCATACTGCGGGTTACGTGACTACATATACCTTCTGCCGATCTGTGGGCGCTATGTGACCAGGTGAAGTATATAATCATCCCTGTTGAAACCAAAGGTCAGCCCTCTCTGTTTACACCTGAAAGGTCGTGGTGCAGGCTTTCTTTTCTGGATAGGTTTTGGAGCATCACGTTTAAAATGCTCGACTATTATCAAGGAAAGACAATATTCATCACCGGAGGGTCCGGCTTCCTAGGCACAGCTTTGGTACATCGGATCGCTACAACCGTTGACTTCAAACACATATACTTGCTGCAACGTGGAGGGAAAAGGTAAGCCATAAACTCCAGAGTAAGAAGAAGAGATGGTGTAAGGCCTACACGTATTGACCATAACAGTGGCCTGTCCGGGAAATGGCACCAACACCTCCCATTTGATACTGCGCAATGGCTTCTAGATCACCCCCGCATCACCATTCTAGACGGTGACATGATGAAGCCTAGCCTAGGCCTTGACACTGATCACATTGAGATGTTGAAGCGGAACGTCCATATCATCATCCATGCCGCATCTTCAATCAACCTTGCCCAGCGGCTTCAAAAGATGTGGCCCAGCGTTATCCGGGCCACAGAGTATGCTGTCGAACTGGGGCTCCAATGTGACAAATTGGAACGTTTTGTTTACGTCTCAACAGCGTATACCAATACCCATCTGTGCAGCCTGTCTCCCAAAGGAGACGTGGAAATGGAAGAGCGTATAGTACCACTTGGATCTACCTCTCCCAATAATGGTAATTCCACTGTGGACGAGGAATACTCGGAACTACAGTCGCGAGGATCCACCAAAGAATACGAAAGCAACGACTTTCCCTGGGGTTATGGATATGCCAAACATCTTTCCGAGCGTCTGGTCACGGACAGGTTCACAAGACACGGCAAGTACGACCGATTGCTGATTCTACGGCCCTCTGTGATTGGGCCGGCCGAGAGCCTTCGATATCCCGGGTATGCGGTTCCCACGTCGACCCCAATGACTATGATCGCGGCCTTGTTTGTCAACCATACAGCGTTTTCCTTTGAATTGTCCAGCCGGCTGGACGACCCGGAATCAGACTCCAATCTGGACGAAGTCCCTGTTGACATCGTTGTAGATCGCCTTCTGGCTCATCTGGCTTACCAAACCCAAGGCTGCGTCCATGCGGTAAGTGGCAGAAAAGCTCGGATTTCCTTCAGGGAGATAGAAGCGGCAGTTTACCAACTCCGATGGTTACCCTGGCGGTTTCATTTAAAGTGGGTGAAGGAGAACGGGTGGAATACCAGATCCGACGCGATCAGCCGTCTATACAAGATCTTTGGGACTTCGTTCGACTTTCATGAAGAGAAGACTGAGCAGTTGATGTCGAAGTTGAGCGTGGAAGAAAGAAGGACATTGCGGTTGTTCAATACCAGGAAAGTCGGTGCATTTGAGCTAGCGTCCCGCAGCAAGCAGATGTATGATTGCTCGACTATATTCGCCAGGAAGATAGCTTCTCCTTACCGGGCCTTTTACCAACTTCTATGGATTATCTGGTGGGTCTATGTTAAGCTGATTGTTGCTTGGGCGGGATTTGATCTGTGGACGGTGACCCGGCAGCTGTTCGCTGGACGAAAGGTCCATTAACAATGTCCATTATTGCGCGACTGTTCTGATTTCATCGCCTTTCGCCGCATGTTCCAATAGGAAGCAAAGCAATGACATGTTAAGAGATGATGAAATGGTCTACATCAGGAGCGTGATGCGAGACGATGGGCGGAGTGTTGGATAGATGTCGGGAATGAAGTTGTAGGGAGGAACGACCTAGAGATTGAAGGGGTCAGGTGATCAGCATCAACATAGATCATGGGATTAGAGCTCATTGATATTTTACGATGGTACATTGCTGGTTTATGGAAAGATATAATGACACTTAGCAGACCGTGAACTCTTTTCTACTTGCATTCTTTGTCTGGTGCGCACCGACTGAATTCATGTATTGCTAAATGTCTGTTGCAAAGCTGGCGAAAGAAAGACCTGCGGGTCAAATTTACATCACCATAGTAGGTAGGATACAACGAAGCGTCCCCGGCGGAAGTGTCATTCACGCTGCCAGCCGGTCCTGTCCTGGCTTTGCCGGCGTCCGGTCCAAGCAAAGAAAGGCCGAAGTAAGAAATGTGGAAATCAAAGCTCCAAACGAAGGAGAGATGAGACTATAGAAGAATGAAGGATCAAAAGAGAAGATAGACAGGAAGAACAATAGAGTCAAGTGTCAATGCAGGGACCCAGACACTTGGGCAGAAGAGAACAAGAAAAGATAACAAAGTCACAACATGAGGACCTGATGTGTGCAAGTCCGCGACCGACGCCAGCAGCAATGGAACAAGTAACAGATGTTCAAGAAAGAGATGAGAAGAGCAGCAGAACTCCATTGACGGACTTAGACCAGGTGGCCTCAGTCTCTCTATCTCGCGGCACAGAATGTCACACTAAAGTTCCTTTAAGTCCTGATTCTAACGATTAAGAACTCGGATTCTTCGGCTCGGGCTTTTTCAGGTTGTTGACCACCTGCTCATGGCTGTGCTCGTTGACGGAAAGCTCGGGCCCAGGCTCATCATTCGACATTTTCTGCAGAATCTCTTCTTGTGTCTTTGCAGCCGTCGTCGGATCATCTGCAATTCCCGCACTGGCCATGCTCTTCCTGGCGCCTTCGATGATCTTATCGGCCTCGCTCATCCCGCGATCCACATTCGAAGAAGGATCTCCGTCCACGCCGATAGGCTCCACGGTGCGGTTGATGACATCCTTCACCCGGTCAGAATCGAAGCGAATCACCATACAGGAAAGGTTGTCAGTGCTGAACCGCGCAAGAGCATGGTCCACCAGAATCTTGGATGCTTCCTGGGCATCATGCACATTGCGGATAAGATCTACCGCTTCTTGATCGCTACACACGTCCCAGAGCTAATAATCTCTGTTAGCAAAGAAGGTTTTAAGCGAGATAAAAGAGTCCAGACTTACACCATCACAAGCGAGGATGATAAACTCATCTGAGTCGGGTTGGATCACTGTTTCGGTAGTATACGGATGTCCGGTTACCAGATCCTTGAGATACGCATCACCGAGAGCTCTAGTCACGGCAAGCACGCCGTTGACGCGATTGTTCAATATTAATCCTCCTGCATTAGCTATGCGTTTCCCTTCGTTCTCATCACTACCCTTGTGATCGTAGGACAAACGAAGTGCCTTGCCGTTGCGGCACAGAATAATGCGGGCATCTCCCACATTAGCAGTGTAGAGGACACGCTGACGG